AAAAAAAAAAAAAAGAATGAATTTAAGAATAAAAAATAATTCCACCTTTAAATTAAGTGATCCTTTTAAAAATTGTAATATGGCTCCATGCCTGTAGCTCAAGCTGCTAAGGCGCCAGCCACATACACCAGAGCTGACAGGTTTGAATCCAGCTTGGACCTACCAAACAACAATGACAACTACAACCAAAAAATAGCCAGGCATTGTGGTGGGTGCCTGTAGTCCCTGCTACTTGGGAGGCTGAGGCAAGAGAATAGCTTGAGCCTGAGAGTTGGAGGTTGCTGTGAGCTATGATGCCATAGCCCTCTACCTAGGGTGATAGCTTGAGGCTCTGTCTCAAAAAAAAAAAAAATGTAATATGATAAAAATTTTTTGTTATAAAAACTATAAATCAGATAATAGCACTCTCATGCTTAAAATCCTTCAGTGGTTCCCAGTGTAATTAGAATAAGATGTAATCCCCTTGCCAGACTTTAAAATTCTTTATGATGTAGTTCCTGAGTAATCTCTGCTTCTTGGCTTCAGCAATTCAGGCTGTATTACCTTCTTTCTTTTTCTTTTTTATTTTATTTTATTTTTTTAAAGACAAAGTCTCACTTTATTGCCCTTGGTAGAGTGCTATAGCGTCACAGTTCACAGCAACCTCCAACTCCTACGCTTAGGCAGTTCTCTTGCCTCAGCCTCCCGAGTAGCTGGGACTACAGGTACCCGCCACAATGCCTGGCTGTTTTTTTGTTGCAGTTTGGCCAGGGCCAGTTCAAACCTGCCACCCTTGGTATATGGGGCCGGCACCCTACCCGCTGAGCCACAGGCACTGCCTTTCTTTCTGTTTCTTGGTTGTACCAAGCTCTTTCTCATCTGAGGGCCCTTGCTTTTTGCCTCTCCAGTCCCAAGACAGTTCGGCACATCTTGCTTTCCTGGCTGCTTTCCCAGTCACTGCCTAGGAGGGGTTTTCCCTGAGTACTGTAACTGAAGAGATAGCTTGTACCCCTAGACCCTCTCTGTCCCATTTCTTTGCTTTATTTTTTCTTAGCAATGTTGACTATTAGAGTTTTCCTTGTTTATTTGTTTACGTATGTATTATTTTTCTTATCTCATTAGCATATAATTGCTTTAAGGACTGAGGCTTTTCCTATTTTGTTCGTTGCTAAATTCCCAATGTCTAGAATAGTGCTTGGCTACTAGATACATATTGAACATTAAATATTCTTAAATTAATGAATGAACAAATTGAATTAAAATGGATACACTATCAATACTTTATGTACTCATACTTTTAGTTTGTTATTTTGATTAAGCCATAGTTTTTAATGAGCTTAATAGTAATTTTTTTCTTTCAATTAGCCACGTACACCTTCATGTGATCAGCCAGGATTTTGATTCTCCTTGCCTTAAAAACAAAAAGCATTGGAATTCTTTCAATACAGAATACTTTCTAGAATCACAAGGTAAACAGCATTCTTTGGTTTTTATTGTACATTTGTTTCATTTTCTCAGATGTCCTCATACTTGATTCACTGTTTCTCAAAATAGCAACTGGCCTCAAAAACCCATGTACAACTTTGGTACCCTATAAAGAGACCCCTATAAAAAGAAACTGCATAATTATTTATTTTTTTGAGACAAAGTCTTACTTTGTTGTTCTCGGTAGAATGCTGTGGAGTGCTGTGGTGTCATTGCTCACAGCAACTTCAAACTCTTAGGCTCAAGTGATTCTCTTGCCTCAGCCTCCCGGGTAGCTGGGACTATGGATGCCCACCACACCACCTGGCTGTCTTAGAGATGGGGTCTTGCTCTAGTTCAGGCTGCTCTTGAACTCCTGAGCTCAGGCAGTCCACCTGCTTTGGCCTCCCAGTGGGCTAGGATTATAGATGGGAACCACAGGGTCTGGCCTCGAAACCAGATAATTTGTATTTTAGTATGATTACCACTTTGCTGTGAGCAGGCTTCTTGACAGACCTAGAAACCTGTTATGTGAGAGTCAAAAAGTGTTTTATTGTGACACCAGGGGGACTTAAAGGTTGTTGTGAGAATTATTGGTGTTAGTAGATGCAAAAGCTCTGAATAGTTCTATGTGTCTTTTGCCATCACTTGGGCACGAGCTGTGTCAAGAGTGGTTAATTAATAGGGAAGGCTGTGTATTTGTAGAAGGAAGCATTTCCTGGTGTATATACTTTGGAACTTTAGTATTTCTGGGATGTCAACAATGACAGTTATCCTTTACTAAGAGGTAAAGCACTATGATAAGCTCTTCACATAGTAACTTGGATTGCCTGGAGTGTGTCCTAAAGGAATATCTTATCTCAAAGGTAAGTTACTGATCAAGCTTATTTTCTCAGCAGGAAGTCTAACCTCAAGCTTACTAGCTTTAGAATACTTGGTATATTGATCGGAATCATGTTTTCTTTTCTTTTTTTTTTTTCTATTTTGTATTGTTTTTTCAGAGCATCTGGGATTTGAACTTTTCTTCTTTTTTTACAGCTGTGATTGAGATGGTACAAAAGGCTGGTAGAGTGACTGTCCGAGATGGGATGCCTGACCTCTTGAAGCTGCCGCTTCGTTGTCATGAGTGCCAACAACTGCTGCCTTCAATCCCTCAGCTGAAAGAGCATGTCAGGAAGCACTGGACAGAGTGATTTTACAGAGCCTGTGTCTTGAGTGTGGCCAGTTGTTTGGAGCAAACTGCTGGCACCTGTTCTGGGTTACTTGTAGACTTTTACCATTTCCTGAATTAAAACATGCAGCTTTTTTACAACGGTTATTCTCTTCATGAGTAGCCACAATGGAGGGTGATTTGAAATAGTTCAGGATTTAGGAACTTGGGTTTGTCATGGAAGCATTCTCTGGTGAAGCTGGCTGGGACATACCAGACCCATCAGTTCCAGGACCTATGTCAAGTCTGACAAATGATAGCAAAGCCATGTTCACATTCATCTGGTGCAGAATATACAAGCTGAAGACTAGTTGAATATTTCTTTTTCTTACATTTATCCTCCCTCCTTGGTGGCCTGGGGTACCCTTTCATCAGAGCAGTTAGAGTGGTCTGTTTTTTTAATGTCTTGTTGTCTGATCTTGGTCTGTTGTGTAATATTAATCTCCCTTCTTGGGGAGGCTTAGTTTCTCCTGTCCTTCCACCTCTCTATTCAAGATCACCTACATGCTTCCTTCTCAGGAAGTCTGTCTCATTAGTTCTTTGCTGTGAGCAAAGAGGCTACATGAGAGGCTTGAGGGTGGAGTTTTCTTCTATTGGGGGTTCCTGGCTGGTGAGGAAAGATTGGCCATATGTTCTTCATGGTTCAGCTGTCAAGTCTTCTTGCTGGCCTGCTTGGACCTGTTGTCTGAAAATAAAGTTTATTTGTTTGAGGTATCTCTATGTAGTTGAAGACCATTGGAAGTTCAGCTGATGCTCACAGAGTAAGTTCTAATGCATGAAAAGGTAGTTGGTGAATGAAAAAAGCTGCATAGAATCACAGCTTTATTTTTCCTTGAGAACAGATGGGTAAACAGAAAACTAAAAAGTTTTTGATCAAATTGTAGATATATTTGGGGATGTGACTTCCTACTCTTGAGTTGTAAAAACAAAATAAGACAACCCCCCCCCCCAAACCCACCCTTAATAAAAGTTTCTTTCTGGAGAGAGAAAACCTAAATTCCTAGGGACCACATTTGACCTCAATGTCTTTCACAAACAAGATGCCACAGTGGTTGCTTGGCAAGCGTGCATATAGTAATAATTAGTTATAATTAATAATTATAGCAGCTAACATTGGTCCAGTTCCTATGTGTCCTACATCATGCTAAGCATTTTATTCAAATTCTCATTTAATTTTCACTGTAACTCTATGAAACAGGTACTATTGTTATGCCCCTTTAATGGATGAGGATCTAATATTCTATAAAGGATCCTGGGCTTCATAGTTGGTCTTAATTCTGATGCATCAAACTCATTATTTTTCCTATCAATTGAATAATATAAATGCAATACTAAGCAGTAGGGGCCATAGAACCCAGAGCCCTTGGATCTATGCTGATTAAATGCTTTCCGTGGCATTTCACTGATTCCCCTGAAGCCAGCCAGTTGTTTTCAAGCTCCTTTTGGCCATCTGTCTATTTTATTTTATTTTATTTTGAGACAGAGTCTCAAGCTGTCACCATGGGTAGAGTGCTATGGCATTACAGCTCACAGCAACCTTTAACTCTTGGGCTTAAGTGATTCTCTTGCCTCAGCCTCTCAGGTAGCTGGTACTGCAGGAGCCTGCTACAATGCCTGGCTATTTTTTGGTTGTAGTTGTCATTGTTTGGCAGATCCGGGCTGGATTTGAACCCACCAGCTCTGGTGTGTGTGGCTGGCACCCTAGCTGCTGAGCTATCTCTTTTATACTCCAGGAGTGTAATCTTTACCTCATTAGCTCATCCATCCATATTTCTGTTTGTCTGAGTTGACCTGCCTGGACCTTCCAGCCTGCCTGATCCATGTGCTCCATCTCCTGCAGTGGTTGTCTGTGTATGCTGTGGCTTGTGGGGGCTGTGGCTGCAGAAGGGATGTGACTTCAAAGCCTCCCCTTTGCTGTCTTTGGTACTAGGCCCTGTAACCCTTAAAAATTATGGGCATGGGCCTGGTTTGGGTTATAAGCATTAAGTAAAATAATCTATACAAAGGATTTAGCATAGTATCTGGTATAGAGAAGGACTCAATAACTGGTAACTGGAAGCCTCTGCTTTTATCTCAGTAGGGGTTAGGGAGGAGGATTTACCTTCTGCAGCTGAAGGCTTGGGGCCCCTGCAAGTACATCTAAAGATGTACTCCATGGACTCCTTAGCTCAGAATTATTGGTTTCCCTTTAAAAAATGTGAGCACTTGGAATCTACCCCAGAACTACTGAATCACAATCCTGAGGGCCTAGAAATCTGCATTTGAAAACATTCATGGTGTTCTTTTTTCAATTTAGGTTTGAGAACCACAATGCAAATGACACTTTGACTCCAAAGGACCTTATGTTTATGAAACTTTCAGATTTGGCTGTGTCCTGCCAGAACACAAACCATTTTCTGATTGGCTGCCTGGGCTTGTTATATAGGTCTTCCCCTACAGGTTTATGGTTTTTAAAGAATCTGGGGAGACCTTGGCCATGAGGTGAGTAAGAGTGCCTGGCTGCAGGGATCAGTACTTCCTTTCTGCAGGAGTTTGGAGCATCAGAGTATCTCTGGTTCTAGGCTGTTAGGGGCCAGGCCCCAAGCTGATGACTGTTCCCCTCAATGGCTCCCATTGTCTCTTCATGTGCAGAGGTCAGTCTAGAGGCTTGGTCTGGGACCTGTAATGAAGACTGCCAGCCTTAGGCTCAGAGCATCAGCATTTTTCCTCTTTTGGGTTTCTCTATGAGATATCCAGGTACAAAAGGCCCTTGTAGGGACCAAGATCGTATTTGAAATAGTCATTAAAGATCTCTTGTAGTTTCAGGGTTATTTCCTAGACCCTGGCTTCTGGCATTCAGTCACACAGACTGGACGTGGGTGGGTATCAGAACTTCAGGACTCACCTGTCAACTGGCCTAACCCTAACTGCTTCCCTCTGTTCTCAACAACTCCTACATGGAGACTTTCACAGAACTCTGAAGATTCTACATAGCCTAAATTGAAATGTGATGAAAACCATGCTCTACAGAATACTATATATATACACATTTTGTGTGATGTTATCAGGGAGTTTACAGAACCAGTGAAATGCTTCCATATATTCTAAGAATCTGTGGATCCCAATTTAAGAATCTTTAGAGAAAAGAGTCATCACCATGGATCTGGAATGTACTGTCACGCCCTGTGGGCAGCCCTTAATCTCTAGGATGTTTCTGGTTGGCTCTTTGATCTCAATGCTCCTCCCTCAACCCTCTGGTGTATGGATATTCTAGGGGCCTCTGGTTGGAGGCACAGCTCAAGCCTAGGGACTGGTGGCTCCAGGAGTCTTGGGACATGGGGAAGTTCTCAATGTGTCCTGAGGAGCCTTGACTCCTCATAGCTCTCTATAAGGCAATCTCAACTTTACTTGAGTACTTTTCCCTGTGTAAGGGGGGTAAACAGGACCAGTCATCTGCACAAACAGATCAGCTGCATTGTGATTGTGTCTTAGGACAGTTGAGTGGCAATATTTCTTTTTCTTTTTTTTTTTTTTTTGAGTCTGAGTCTCACTATGTTGCCCTCAGTAGAGTGCTGCAGCATTACAGCTCACAGCAACCTCAAACTCTTGGGCTTAAGCAATTCTCTTGTCTCAGCCTCCCAAGTAGCTGGGACCACAGGCACCTGCCATAACACCTGACTATTTTTTGTTACAGTTGTCATTGTTGTTTAGCAGGCCTAGGCTGGGTTTGAACCTGCCCTAGTATATGTGGCTGGTGCTGTAACCACTGTGCTACGGGTGCTGAGCTGAGTGGTAATATTTCTTGATTCAATAGAACAAACTATACTGAAGATACAGCTTATTGCAGCATGTACTGCAGAGAGTTGACCGAAGTCCCAAACAATGCTATTGCAAATTATGGGATATTTAACCAAACTTCAGATAAGGTCCACCTAGTGAACTTTTAATTTATTTTTTCTTAGTGTTTATAGTATACCAAACTTTTAAGAAAGTAGATAATGCAAAAGCGTTCAATTTAATTTTCACCTAAGTAACACCATATAGTTTAGCATATCAATATTAAAATTAAAATGAAGGCTAGGTTGGGTGGCATCTGTGGCTCAGAGGGTAGGGCACCGGCCCCTTAGACCGAGGGCAGTGGGTTCAAACCTAGCCCCAGCCAAACTGCAACAAAAATAGCTGGGCATTGTGGTGGGCTCCTGTATTCCCAGCTACTTGGAGGCTGAGGCAAGAGAATCACCTAAGCCCAGGAGTTGGAGGTTTCTGTGAGCTATGATGTCATGGCACTCTACCGAGGGCAATAAAGTAAGACTCTGTCTCTTAAAAAAAAAATGAGGGCCAGGTGGTGGCTTATGCCTATAATCTAGCACTTGGGAGGCCAAGGTGGGTGGACTGCTTGAGCTCACAGGTTCAAGACCAGCCTGAGCCAGAATCAGACCTTGTCTCTAAAAATAGCTAGGTGTTGTGACAAGCACCTGTAGTCCCAGCTACTTGAGAAGCTGAGGCAAGAGAATTCCTTAATCCCAAGAGTTGGAGGTTGCTGTAAGTTATGATGCCACAGCACTCTACTAAGGGTGACAAAGTGAGACTGTTAAAAAAAAAAATCACAATGAGAATATTTGATTAGAAACTGCAACCAAGGGGAGACTGTCATAGTGTGATATGTGATGAAGGAAAATTTGAAAGAGTGAGATGGTCACTTTTAAATCTTTGTTCAGTCAGGTTACTTGGTGACCTTGAAAAATAGATCTTTTTGAAGACGGAAAAAGGTGAATAATGACTTGGAGGGGTCAGAGAAAGGAAGTGAGATACTGAGGTATAAGTCCCACCACCCTCTTGTACAGGTGGATCATACCTTTCTGGTCCTATTTAATTCAGATTTATCATTGCCTTACATATAATTGGGGAGAGTTTTCTTTTCTTTCTTTCCTTTTTTTTGTTTTTTGAGACAGAGTCTCACTATGTTGCCCTTGGTAGAGTGCTGTGGTGTCACAGCTCCTAGAACCTCAAACTCCTGGGTGTAAGTGATTTTCTTGCCTCAGCCTTCCAAGTAGCTAGGACTATAAGCACTTGCCACTGGGCTCTTTTTTGTTGTTGTTGTTTAGCAGCCCTGGGCTGGGCTT